CAGCCCCGCCCCTGCTCCCTGTCGCCTAGGCGACCGGCCGCGCGCGCTCCCGGGAGACTGCGCCGTGCGGAAGCCTCCGCTCGCGGTTAGATAAACAACCTCCTCTGCCGCCCAACACCACCCTACCCCGCACGCCCCGTCGAACCCCAGGGCCTGCGTCCTGAGCATGCGCAGTTCGCTTGCCTGAGCCGGGAACCTGGTCAACTGGAGAATCCCACGCTCGGCATTTGGGGGAGACAAGATGTTAGCGGGGCCGGAGCAATCTGCAGGCTTTAACGTGAGGCGGAGAGTGAAAAGAAGAAACGGGCAAGGCTCAAAAGGAGGTCTTGGTGAGGGATTTTGCTTGACACCACCCAGTCTCTCAGTACTGACAGTTTGGGTTTTTATCCTGCATCAACGTAACGAGAAGCTTTTTTGAGGGAACGAACATAAATACAACGAAGCGAAGCTTTCTTTTAAGACTCAGAACTGTGAGGGAGGGGTCGCCTGGCCCCTTCTGCCCACTGCCCGAGGTGGCGAAGGCGAGTCCGCGGAAGCCAGGCGCACGCCCGGTGACGTTGCTGGGGGTCCCGCCCAACGCCCCCAGCCCTGCCCTGCTCCAGCGCCGGCCTGCTGTCGAGCTCTTCCCACGCCCTCTCAGCTACGGGCGCTTGGAAAACCGGGAGAACGGAGCTCCCACCCGCAACAGAAGGCCCAGGGACACCTCATAGCAACAGCTAGCTGGGGCACCTAGTAGGAAGCTGGGATTCAGTCCAACCAACCAGATCACGTTTCTGTACCCCATGGTATCTTTCTCGGCCAATCGAGAGCCACTTCATGCCACGTGACACCCACCCGTCAGCCAATGGGGGAAACTCTAGTCGCAGGATCAACCAACTCACCTCCCTTTGCCTGGCCAGGCTGGGCGTTTGCTCCTGCGCACCTCTGCCAACCAATCGTAGGTGAGCTGGCGAATGACGGAGGTTCGATGTGAGCCAACCAGGGCTCGCGATTCCTTTGCCACCTAGGGCCGGTGGTATGGAGACAGGGAGGCTGGTGGGGTCCGGGAGGGGTCGGGGAATGAGGGGCCGGTCGCTGTGCCCTATGCTGGCAAGGAGCAAGGTGTTTTGCAGGCGAGAGTGATGAATTCTGCGTTTAACGTCGTCTCCTTGGCATGCTGCCTAAATGATGGGCATGGAAATGGTGCTGAGGGAATGTGGGCTGAATCGTGGGATGAATCGAGAAAACAGGGACTTTTGTCTTTAGGGTGAGAAATTTTCCGGTACTTAAGGAGACATACTGCAGCAGTTGGCACGGGTCTTCCATGCGTGCCTCCTGAAACTTTTTTTTTTTTTTTTTAACTACTTAGTTTTTTAAACTTACCGTTCGGTCTCTGTAGCATATGTTAGTTGCACTTTCATACCCGCAACGTCAAATTTAGAAGTTATATTTCCAAGTATTCCTGGATTATATTTTGTAATAACTGGTTATTGGATTTACCTTACTTAAACTCTGTCCTTCTCAGACTAGTCTACACCAATCTGTTACTAAATCACATTTCTTGGGAATAATAAGTTTCTGCAGTTCTAACGTTTGATCATGGCATACCTCTTCGCCCTTTCTCTTTCCCCACAAGGTCATCATGTAGAGAGGATGTTGGTCTGAGTTCCTGGAAAAACCAGGTGTTCCTTTACCATCTTTTCTGTCAATTATCAAACTACTACAAAGGTGTACTTGGATTCAGCAGTGTTCTATTGCTCTGTTAGTCCATTATATTAGAATGGAGAATTTATATTTGCATTATCTTGCTATAGTATAGCACATACCAAGTTTTTGCTTAAAATAATTGAGGGCAAGTGTCATGTCAAAATGTGTAATAAATATAACTCAGTCTTCATTTCTTGATTAAATGTTGTCAAAGTATGAGAGGTAATATCTGAGCCTCTGGAATCAGCAGTGAAGGCAGATTGCAAAAAAATTCGAATCAGAAGAATCTTTTAAGATCATGGAAACCATAGAGGATCTGATATCTGATTCTAGATTAGTAATGTGAAAAAGTGAATTAAAATTAAAAGAAATCACATCTGAACTTTTTTGGCAGGGATATTTCAAGAAGATGTTGTAGATGAGTGCGGTGTTCACCTAGCTTTTTACAAGTCTCATATTTTGTGTGAAACTTGTATGCTGATTTGAGGTTACTTTAGCTTTGTAACAGTCACACTTCTTTTCAGAAGAAAGACAGACTGTCTCTTTAAGATCCAAATAGTGCATCATGGTGATAAAATTCCTAGGCTTTTTGAGAAGAATCAAACTTTCTCTCTTTGTATAGATCATTACAATCTGTGTAGTACGTTGCATTGCAATGGAGCAGAAAAATCATTTATTTTGGAAGCAAATAAAGGTCCAGTGGCTTTTTGTTTTTGCTTTTTGTTTTGTTTTGTTTTGGGTTTTTTTGGAAATTTGCATTGGGATTGTGAATCCACAATGTAACCTTAAGCAACTTTCATTTCCTAGGTCCCCAGAAGTTGAGAAGCTCTGGATTGCAGTGCATCTGATAGAAGTTGTCACACAAAAAATAGTGAGTGGGCTCCCTAGTCACCCCACTTAGCATAATAAAGAATAGGAGAGCTTTTTGACATTTTCCAGGCTGTTTTCTCTGACCTTTCATTACTGCTGACTTTTCTTGATAAGGAGAAGTATACAGACGGCCGCCCTTAGGGTAGTTGCACCTCATTTATATTTCTCATCTTGCTTTTTGATATTCATTCTCAATGAATTCATATTCATTTGATATTCATTCTCAATGTTCATTCTCAATGTTGCCATAAGGGTAGATTTTTAACCACTAATAAGCAAAAGAAACATGATAAGCAGGTCGTATTTTCTTTCCTCTTCTGTATTATATGATGATACTTACCTAATTTGAGCCTTTATGTGAAATACTGGTTGAAGGATTAGCTTCCATAAGAAAGGATGTCAGAACGTGTAGAGAATTTTGAAGATTTGGTTGGGAGATGGGTGTCTGTCTCCTGATTCCTTAATCATGTTCATTTTTATGCCAGCATGAACTATCTATTCTGAGAGTGATTTTAGAAATAAAAACTATGTCTCCATTTGTTTGTGGGAAAGACAAAATAAAAATGAGGTAAAATGAAATTGAATTTTTTCTAAGAGCTATAAATTTGTATGATAGTGAAAATGTAACACTGTGCACTGACACTTTAGGGTTTCTTTAGCTTCAGAAGGGCATTACTGGAAGAAAAAAAAAAAAGAAAAACACTTCATTTCTCCTCTCCCCACTAAATCTGAGAGTTATCTCACCTATACCCAGATACCCTCAACTGTCACACTTGTGTTACTATGGAAACCCAGCTCCTTTGCTTCTGTGAAAGATGTTGGAAAAGGTGGGATGAAGTGGGAAATACACTGTGTTTGGGGACTTTCTGACTAGAGCAAAAGGCAAGTATGTGAAGAACTTAATATAAACAAGTTAGAAGAGGATGTCTGTAATATTAGCAGTGCTACTTGTCTATGAAACCCTGATTCCTATTGCTTCCTATTAAAGCCTACATGTGGGGGCGCCTGGGTGGCTCAGTCATTAAGCGTCTGCCTTCGGCTCAGGTCGTGAGCCCAGAGTCCTGGGATTGAGCCCCGCATCGGGCTCCCTGCTCTGGGGGAAGCCTGCTTCTCCCCGTCCCACTCCCCCTGCTTGTATTCCCTCTCTCTCTGTCAAATAAATAAATAAAATCTTAAAAAAAAAAAAAAAAGCCTACATGTGTGTGATTAGCCATAAAGGGGAAGGGCAAGTCAAGTACATTTAGAGCAGAAGACATTTTCTTGGCCTCTGAGGCTCCTAATATAGTTGAGAAATGGAAGTATATATAAACAGTGGAAAGGAAGGGGCAGAATAAACTTGTTTCTTTTTTGAAAATGCAATATGTCTCAGCACTTTTGAAAAGAAAAAAATGCAGAAATGAAGTGAGTATGTAAACAAGTCAACGAAAGAAACCTTCTGGTCGAAAAAGTAAATGTTATTGAAGGAAAAGGCTTAATGATTAAGATACAGGAAATAAAAAGAAAAAAGCCTAAAGAAACTTAAAAGCTTGAATGTTCAGAGGAAAATAGAGCTCCAGTATGGTTTGTTTAACACGGCTGAAGAGTAAACACAGTGTTGCTGCATTCCTAGCAGTTTCCCTTTCTTCTAGGTGAAAAATATAGGGATGAATCAGGATTGATCAATAATGGCAGTCCTCTCGTCTTTGCCCAGTTAGTCCAACAGTAGGCACATGACTCAGTTCTCATTATTGGAACTGGAAGAAGCCACTGGGACTGGGGGATTCCCGGGAGTCTGACAAGAAGGAGTAGATATCCCCATTGTTTTGGTGCCACTCCCCTTGCTTCCTGCTTTGCACAATGAAATAAGAGAATGTGGCCACCATCTTTGGGCTGTGATGCCTTATGGCTGAGGATGCAAACCAGCGAGCTTCAGATGGCTAAGAAGTTTGAGAAGAATCCAGGTCCTGGAAAACAGCATTGAATGGTCATGCTGATACTGGAAATGCCCACCTTTGGACTTACTAAGTAAACAGCTAGCCTCCTTTGGTTTAAGTCTGTGTTAGTTTAAGTCCATGAGGTTTTCTGTGTCTTGGAGTCAAATACATCCCAACTACCATAGAAAGTATAAGAGATTCGAGACAAAATAGTATTTTAAAAAATCAGCGAGCATTTATGATATTCTGATGGATATCCTACTGATATCCTGAATGGCATTTCAAAGACATTATGGTATTAATTGAGCACTTACTATGTATATTATTCTAGGCTCTGGGGATACAAAAATAGACAATTAGCCAGAAGAGCTTGTAGTTATAGACATTATAAACAGAAGAGACTGACGTTAAACAACTGATTGCACATTTACATTATGTAATAACAGCTTATAATTCATGCTAACAAGAAAAATTAGAGATTACAAGGATGTAATAATGTAAATAGTAAAATATTACAAAATATATAACCACATAACAATAAAATTATAATAACAAGCACTTTCAAGGACATGATAATATGTATAGTTTATACATGAATTCTTAGAGGTTAAGAGAAACAGAATAAACTGAAGTGGTTTAATAAAGGAAAGCTGTCTGAAGGAAATTAATATGGAGCCAGGTTTTGAAGGCAGGGGCCAAAGAATGGACTAGATGGGGCAAAAAGGAACACTCTAGGTGCAAGGAATTGAGAGAGCAAAGGGAGACAGCAGGAATGAAGTAGGAGTGAAATATGGAAAATCCAGAATCACTTGATTCTTTAATTCTCTATAGCCGTGCCATTCTAGGGACAACTATCAGGGGAAAAAAAAATCAGAGGCTAGAGGTGTCAAGGCAAGATTACAAAAAGGTATATAAATAATCTGGGAAAAAATAATAAGAAAAAGTAGAAAGAGTACAAGGGTACATTTGAAGAAGTTAAGGTATTATTCAAAATGATGAATAATTTATAATGTGGGCATCATGAAAGAATTGTTATAAGAAGTAATTATGGACTTGAGGGCATCAAGAAGGTGGAATTCAAACTTTCACAAACAGAAGTAGAAAGAAAAATGAGGGGTAGCAAAAAATGAAGACAGGCAGCAAAACAGTTTTTGCTTATGGTTATTTTTTCATGGTAGCTGTTACTGACATGCATTATGTAAAGATGAATGGAATTTGATTGAAAAGAAAAATTTCAATAGACCAGTAATATATAAAGATAGTCTTTTAGGTAAATAATGTAATTTAGAATGTTTTTCCTAGAATGCCTTTTTGTACCTTGCCATAGAAAAGTCTTTTCAATAAAGAAGCTCTAAGGAATAATAAGTAACAGATTAGTGACATATTTTGGAAATTTAAAAAAAACCCTGTAGATGTGCCAAATGTAATAGTATAGCAACAATAATAAATACTTGTAAAAAAATCAGAAGTTTGTCAGATTTTATGTGGTTTCTGGTCAAATATGGTTGTAGTATTTTTCTAATGCTATTTTATGTAAGAATATTTCTTTTTTTTTTTTTTT